TTATATTTTGTTAATGGTTTTTAATTCCTTTATAGATTCAAACAACTCGAGTTCGCGTTCTTCGTCAAATTCACCGTTACTCAATTTATACGACATCATACATTCAAACTTTTCGCTTCCACGAAGTATGCAAATATTGAAATCTGATAATGTCTTGAATAAACTTCGAAATGGAGAATAACCGCTCTTGTAACATACCTGTGGTTGTCACTATGGTCAAAGAAACATCAGGTTCCAATACTAACTGTACATTGCATATCAAAGCATCTTAATATGTACATTTACGTTGTACAAATTTTAAAGCTACTAACTCAAAATATCACGAATTTCCATCATTGGTACAGCGGCTAATTGTTTAAAAAAAAATCAATAACAAAAATAAATCGCTCAGAGACAAAAACAAAGATGTTTCGTTGTTCGTTTTGAACGTAAATACAATGTTCTAATTATGTTTTGTAGTATGTAAATCAGTGCTTTCCAACAACTGCTACTGCGCATCACAGAAAATGTCTGCAATCAACTGTGTTTCATACCATCATGAATATGAAGAATATGCATTTCATTCCGTAATGAACGCTATTAATTGTATGGTAGGTTGATAGTAGAACAAGTTCTAGACATACTTATATTGGCATTAAAACGAATGGAATGGTAATACAAATATATACCAGTAACAACAAATCAAACAACTATTATTATATCGATATTATTGCCATTGAATGGTATCTACGAAACCTCGCTATACACTGCCATTATTGTCTTTTCTCATTTTCACCTGGCAATATATTGAAGGGAATTTTAAGAACCGTGTTAATTAAGAAAACGGAAATATGGACATATGCATAATGGTGGAGACACAGATAATGGACGTGGCATATGAAATAAACGACATTGACTGGCAGTATATGGAGTGGCAACATACCAAAATTTTCATCGTCCAGTTAAAGAAAAGTTAAAAAACATTTTTCACATTTAACATAAAGAAGATGAATTTATCGGTTTCTAATTCTTTATTTATAATAAAAAACGCGTTTGGTGTTTCATCTGTACACATATAAATAAGGAAAGAGAAAAAAATCACATACATTGAATGGACCTTTTCACTCGTAAATATTGTAGTCTCGTTTTAGGGATACAGATAAAATAACAGTTTATACATGCAGAGGGACAATCAGGCAAGCTTATGGTTTCTCTGCTCGATTTGGGGAACGTTTATGGTATAATTCAAAAAAAAATAATGAACAGTTTAACTAAAATATATATATTAAATTTTGAAATATTTGTCTTTCTACCACCTTGCTTCCTATATTGATCTATACTCGTATATATACTGTTAGAGACTGGTAGACTTTTGCTATGTCAGAGAGTTTTGATTTACCGCTAAATGACATTGCAAATATTGTCTTAGAACAAATTTGGTCCAATTTTCCTTCAACACGGCATTGAAATTCTTGTCAACTTCAAAATTTAACCTAGAAAATTAATAATTTCACAAGAAAACACAAATGTTCATAAACTACAGTTTAAATTATATTTAAATGATGCGCATTTTATAGAAAGGCGATTCATATATTATATAGTATACTTTTCTTTTAATGAATCAATGGGGATTTTTTTTTTTTAAATATAGATAATATGTGCATTAAGTTGACCAATCTTGGTGACATAAACTCATATTCGATAGTAAATAGCTGAGGGTAGATTCGGTAGCTATAGAGCTGACCGTTAGAATAGGGTATCTCGTTGAATGAGGTGTGGTTTAAATCGCTACCTCCGATATTTTTCTCTCTATCGGGATCATAAAAGTTTCGGAGAATGCGCAGGTAGACGATAAGTGCAATTAGCCAGGCGGAATAAAATCCCATCAAACATCTACAGGTAGAACGGGCTGTTATTCTGTCTATGTATGTCCTATTCGAGTACAGTAGTATATATTGCACTGTGCCACGAGGGCTAACGGACTTCAACGAATCTAATTTGACACAATTTAATTAGGATTCTTTTCAAAACCAATCAAAAGTATTAATTGGCGAGAATTCGCTAAGCCTTGGATGGTGTTAGCTTAGAATTAGCACACACACTTGTCTGAATAGTACACCTGAGGTAAACTTCGCACCTGTGCGATGGGTCAATATTTGGTCTACCTGGACACTCCGGGGGTCGGGACAGGTACACTGGACTTTGACGTATACCCCAAATCGTTCCAGACGGGCTAATTTCTTCAATATGGTAAACGTGTAAACGAAAAATGGATGTCTGGACGAACTGAACGAGCCGGGTTCCTAACCCCTCGAGCTTCAGACCAAGTGATTGGAGATTAAGGGGGCGTGTGTCATTTTGATCCCCTAAATCTTGGCACAATGTAATTAAGGTGTTAAGACAAATGGTTTTACTAAGCCAGACGTCTTCCGGTAAATCACATACAAGATAGTAGTTTTCTATTATCTAGTAGTACATTTTTCTATGCTTTCTATATTTTCTATGTGAAGTTATAAAATCCCTTGAAATCATGATAAATCAATTTTGTGAATATATTTCTGATTTACTTGTAATCATGGAAATTACATATGAATGATAAATTATGCCATGTTAAACTCAATGAAGATTTTTTTTCAAGTTTTATTTATAGTTAAGAATTATGAGAAATTTAAACTGAAGTTGTTTCAAAGTTCCAGGATGATCCAAACAAAATAACGAAATTCATCAAATACTTTCAATATATGCGAACTAACACGCGCCTTGTCAAACATATTGGAATCTCAAATTACAAAGTTAATTAAAGTCTTTATTCACGATACCTGGCATTGATAGTATACATATTTGATGATAATGGTATTTTTTCTTTCTTCACTATACAAAGCTCGGGCGTTTTTGCGAAAACTTTTATCGTCTAGGGTTGCTTTAAAAGCGAACATCTTCATGTGTTATTAACAAAAAGATAGAGATGAAAGGATTTATGTGAGAATAAATGAATAAATGAATTGATGCATACATTTGTGTTATTATTAATACAGTTTCTATTTGATTTTACTCTCACGTTACTTAACACTTTAAGATTGAAGCATGATGAGTGGTTATAGGAGTAGGAGGGGTGGGGTGTTTACGGGGGAGGGGTGCAAAAACACCAAAGTATGTCCGTTATACGTTTCTAACCTTTTTAATGAAAATGCAATTTATTTCTAATCCATTTCCTTTCTTTAATATACAGGTATTTTAATTGTTGTTTTGTTAGCTGAAAAATGCGGAAATCCGCTATTGGATCGTTGGAACACAAAGGGAATATCTCACTTGAGATTGTGTGGTTACAAAAAGGCTGTGAAGTCTATCTTAAATTTAACAGATAAGGATACATATTACACATTGTTAGCGGTGTCCCTGTTTGAAAAAGCACGGAATATATGTGACGATATGTCAGCGAAAAATTTCACATATTGATACGAAATGTGAATTCCTTCACGTTCGGACAATTAGTCCTACCGTGAGAGGTGCTGTGTGCTATCGAACGAGACCTGTAAAGCTAACAGGCTGAACATGTGTATCTCAGTGTGAAGTCATTTAAAGGTCGAGTATTGATGCTATTGTTGTTGTTGACTTAAATAAAAACATTCATTAAAAATTCAACGTTGTTTTTAAACAAATATACCAATATTTCGTCGTATAAATTGTATCCCCCTCCCCCTTGAAAGCGCGCATTTGCTTCATTTCGAAGTGTTATGAATACTATTGAAAAAGCAACTGCACAAACTATTTAATTACTTAATCAAATATGCACCTCCTTATTAAAGATTGCATATCTACATCATTTTTCATTTTGTTTCAACAATTTGCGCAGAAATTCGTTCGAACTGTCAAACTATGTATAATATAGGCTTGGAAAGTATGCGTATTAAGGCGAAAACACATCCACTTTATTAATATAGTTTATTAACTGTTATCCTTATTGTTTCTGACGAGAGTAATTTGTTTCATATCGTCTCCTAAAACGACTAACTTGTAAAACTGTAATGAGTATTGCAACCATTCCATAGACTTACTGAACTTATAATGAAAATATAATTAGATGCCTGTTTATTGATATAAAATTTGCATATTTTAGGCAGTTTGTATAAATCGTATGAATATGTATGATTTATAGATTAGAATTACCAAGCTGATAAGATAGATATCTGTGACAATATCTATTCATAGAAAATATTGACTATTGACAAATATTACTGAATAACTATGTATAAACATCAGTTCAAACTGCATCAGAATAAGACGGTAGCCAGTCCTTCCGTCGTTAATTTTTGGAGGTTAAATAACTTCCATTCGATGTTTTCTCAGAACTTTTTAGGAATTGAGTCCCGCGCCTTTAAAACCCTCTAAATCCGTAATTGCAAAGTCATTATATATAAAATTAAACAAACCGCTAGTAGCTCCGTCGTTACTAAGGCGCTATTTTAATGATAATAATATGTACACACTTTAATTTCATTTCCAGGATTAAATAGTCTTAGAAAGTTACTCCTTTTAATTCTTGTTTTAATCCATGTCAAATACTTAGTACGGCTTTTTAGCAAATGAATTGAAAAGCGTGAAATCTTATCAGCAATTGTCAATCAAACGTAAGTCTGGTTAAATTTAGGATCATACAGACATTCAAACTGTAAGTAGACTGCTATAAAAACAATTCCACCGTCCCGACCACATTTGATAATTCGGCCCTTAAGCCTAAATATTGTTCTTAAAACCCATGTTCAACATCGCTACCGAGGCCTGCGGGCCGAAACACCGACAAATCACCGAGTCGGTAGTGCTATAGTTTTGACAGAAACTGTTTATGGTAATTAGCGAAACTGCGAAAGGCGCTGTTCACTGCAAAACAAGGCATCGATTTGTCAGGAACAGTGAAAACTATGGCCCGAGGTTCTTCATATGCAAATGAGCGCGTGGCAAATGATAAACATCTCGAAGCTTAGTGGCTGATCCTCAGAATGGGCAGTGATATAAATTTCAGAAACATGTGCTATCGTGACGTCAGTCTAAGCATGCCCAAACGAAACCAACACTGACTTGATATCTTGTATATATTGGTGATGGACGCTTGAGACATCACATTTTAAGCTTCAGATAAACAGCTTCACAGTGAAAAGCTACTTGCATTTCGTTCGATGAGGACCGACTTTATAACTGCCTATACTACCAAACAGAAATAAGATAGCAACATTTTGTCGACAGACTAGGAAATGTATCGGTCGGGTCTCCTATAGCATAGCACTATATGTACTTAAGCTGGAGTATGGAAGAAAAGTGTTAAAAGAAAAACATTTGGTGTCAGGATAATTGTGTTAATACCACCAGCGAACGAGGACTTCGACTTTGATTGTCGCTTAAGACTGTGAGAAAAAAATAGCGTAAGAGAAACGGCTCATTGGATACCTATATACCTCTGATCTATGTTGGCCGGAGAGTGGAGTAACATTCATGGACTGTATTGGTTTTAAAATCTGTGAGACAAAAATATTCTTTTCACCATTTCACTGTTGTGGGATAAATGGACTCTCTACATGAATCGATTTCGTTAGAAGACTTCGTAATAGCAACAACTTCGCAGACAAACTCAGGAATGACCATGCATCATTTGGATACACTTCCCAGTGTCCCCTCCGAAGGGGGGCTCACGTCCCCCTCCGCGCACGTGGGGATTGTTGATAGCCTTTCCCCAAGTTCTACTGACACTTCTATAGAAAAACTACACACAGGTATGCGATCAGTATGAATTCAGAGTTATTCAGTAAGAATTCAGTATAGATTCATTATAAATTCAGTATGCTAGTTCAGTGTCGATTCAGTGGTTAATTAGCGTAATAACAGTGCTGTTGTATAAGGAATCATTACGGATAAGTATTCTTTCAGCGTTAATTCAGCATCAATATGCATAGTGGTAAATTAAGTATATAGTAAGTACACCTAGCATAAATTGACACCAGTTTTAAGAATTCAGACTCGAGTCAGTACAAATATTATTTCATATCATTCGATGTAATTTAGCCATATTTTCGTCTTAAAATAACCCGCTTTGGCTAATTTTGCATCGTACGCATAACATATAGCAATATTTAAACTAAAATATATCATGTTCACAATATATTTATGCGTGCTAGCATGTTAAGATACTTTACTTTAAGATATACACAATGTAGATATTGGCATACACGAAATATTTTGTAAGGCCACCCCAGGTGGTGTAAAATAAGACAATTATTTTCAAACTTTAATTACGCGTTGTGCAACGTCATTAAATTCGTCCTATACCTCTTATGGTGAAAAAAATATGTAAACAGGCTGGCGAGATGCAATAATGCCATACAAATTTTAAACACATTAAACACAATACAATAGTATTATGATGCCATGTCACCCGTTTAATAGACAATAGTTAAAACCAGGCTCCTCTTACAGACTTTTAATACATTTCCGAAGTAAATATTTCACAACATATTACGATATACCTAGAAAATCAGACCTGAAGAACGTGCGTTAAGTCGTAACGTAATGCTATTATATCATGGACAATTCTATAACTGACAATATCAATTTGGTGTTTGTATGTTTAAAATGAACCCGAGGTCACTCTTATATCGACAAGAATTTCTTAAGAAGAGGACAAGGACCATAAGCGTCAAGTTAAGGACGTCCAAATTGATATTATCTCCCTCTCTCGTGTCACAATTAGCTTGACGGGGCCCTTAAAATGGTGGAATATCTTTTTTTCTTAGAGGTTCATATTTAAACAGAAAATCCTAGACGGGTTTTTAATTTGTTCGGTAGATCTCATAAAGTTGTTTATGGATTTGGCATATCATCGTATACTTTATATTATGTAAGGCTATACCCTTTGTTTATTATCTCAATCCTTTTTGCTTATTGAAATATCTGAATACTTTACTTAAATCTAAGTTTTATTGGTCGTAATATTACTCAAGCGTTGGACAATGAAAATGTAAGTACAAGTAGCTGTATTAGACTGCCAAATTCTTAAAACCACAAGAGCTAGGGAGACAGAATATATATATATATATATATAATACACAAAACAGAAGCATACGCGTGTGAGCTGATATCGTTTTGTAAAATAGACTTGGATATTGACATTCTGAGTTTGAAATGGACATGCGGATAGCCGGTAAGGATGACAGGCGTAAAGAGAGTCGGTCGTTACCCCCGTGTGTTTGAGATTTGTCTGACAGAGTACGGGTTTATAAACTACATAACGTTATAGCGCCAACAAATACTCGAGTTACCAAGTTTCTTAAACAATAATCCAGACCTTTTGTAAAATCACTTGTTAGATTTGTCTTTCCGTGAAAAGTAGATTTCGCGTTTTTATTTTCTGACAGATCCCCCCACCACCCAGTTTTCTTGCGATTTCGCTTTCGTGCTAATAGTAGGTAAAAGGAAGTTTTCGGTGAGAGGGGAGGGGCGGCTGGCCCAGGGGGGTTATCTAGAATGGTGTATCTCTAACTCGCGTACTTATATACACGTATGACTTCAAGTGGCATAGAGTCTACTTAATAATGTACCAAATGGATTTCACTCTGCGACAATATAGAGTAAAGGGGGACCCAACCGTCAAAACATTCCAGTGTAACGGTACATGGTCGGCGCCTCTATCCAATCCTAACTGCGACCTCAAGTGTCTTGATAACCACGGAAAGGCAAGGGTAAATAATTAAGTGGAAATTTCGATGTATATATCAAACAGAAATAACGTGAAAACGTTTTAACCGTCAGTGAAATTAGACCGAAATTTCCAGTAAATTAGTCAAATTGTCGCTTGTTACCTTAGATGTAAATTGTATAAAAGTCATCGATTTGACACAGGTTTTTCTCGTTTAATAGTGACGGTCCCAGCCTCTCACTTGACAAGTGAATTATTCCCAATGAAATCGTTTGATGTGAGATACACATAATAATAAAAAAAAATCTAAAAAAAATATCTTGTAAGACAACATCCGTAATCAATTTCCACTGCGTTGTCAATATCAGAAAGAACGAACATGGCCCGCGATTACAGTTATTGCTTTCGTTAATGGTTGCTATTACTAACAACGAAATGAGGGTCTCTTGTTAATTTAGCTGACATGATGTTGTGTGTTTCTTGTACGCGACGCGGACGATGTTACACGTACTTGAATGTGATGAAAGATGACAGATGATCGACCGAAAAGAAATCGACATCGTTGTTGTTAATTTCACGGCATTTACGCTCCAATCAATATATTACTGATCCAGTTACGATCGTCTTGCCGTTATGTACTTTATGAGTTAGGTATAGAATATATTGGTAATTGTACGCTGTTTCTATTCAGAAAGGTGATATTGAGTTAAGGTATTCAGAAGTTATCATCATCATGACAAACATCAACAAATAAATATAAAACAAAAAAAACACAAAAATTCTGATTACATAATATAAAAATCAAAGAAGAATTTACAAATTAATTGTATGTTCTGTTTATTAACCAGGAGAAACACGCTCTCGTAGTGCAAACCCATCAGCTGTTTTGTCAAATGTTAGAATTGATGAGTTTTGGCATAACTCTGAGGATATATAATTTTGGATCCACATCTATTGTTTAAATACAACATATATCTAAACGGTTACAGATTTCGTGTTTATACAAACCATATGTTTCAAAATACCTCCGCCACCTGCATCTCACTGAGTCAAAATGGGGTTCAACTGCCTAAGCGTAATTCCAAGATGTATCATATATGCTTGAATCTCACTCGATTTTTTTAATTTCTGTCTGATATATACAACTCTTATCGAATGTTGTAAAGTGGCAGATGTGATTTATGTCTTAAACAAGCCGTAAAACGTTATGATTATTTCACGTTTCAGACCGAACTTGAAAAACTCACGCCCAATACAAATAATATATACTATAGATATTACACGTTTCGTTTATCCCAAAATGTGAAGTACAGATATTGATTAAATCTATAAACTTAAATTGTTGCGTAATCCCTGAAGTACTTTCGATTAAAAACATGTCAAAATATCAGTAAATTATCCCAACGTTCACTGAAACCTGTGTGTAAAAAATATACACTTGCAAACAGTACTTTAGAACAAATATAGCCCGTATTGTTTGATGTGTTCCCATACGGAAACAATCTATGAAGTTTTATGAGTTCACACCAATTTGCAAATCAACAAGAATTCGGTGTCGAAAACACTTGTCAATGTTGAAAATAAACACCCCGAAACATAAATCTCAGCCTACTTCAAACTTTGGTGGGATTAGAAGGTATTAATGATATTTTATAACAGGTATGCAAATATACCTTATCATGGTTTTTCAATTAGATTTTTCGCAATTGGTCAGATTTGAATTATTTCTTTTCACACATTTGCTAACATGTACATTTCAGAACGTACTTCACGTATTTGCAAAGAAATAAACAAATTTTGAATTAAGCAATTTTGAATAGTTGCATGCGTTTTGAGTTTAGTTTTCATCGCTAATTAGAGAATTTAAGACATGTTAAACAGTGCCTACCGCTAAAATAATATTACGCTGATAAAAAGACACATGAACCAGTATTATATTTTGAAAATTAAAGTGACTTTTGATATTTAAAACCGTGTTCTTTTCCCAAATTACAGCAATCCAGCCCCAGATATTGATGATTTGTTTAAAATATTAATAATTACATCTTTTAATTATCATTTCAGATTCCAGTGAGAATTCAAAAACGAAATCGGAAGACAGTGGGACGGAGGAAGACAAAAAGAAGAAAAGACAAAGAAGACAGCGAACACATTTTACCAGTCAGCAACTGCAAGAACTGGAAGCCACATTTTCCAGAAATCGCTACCCAGATATGGCAACACGGGAAGAAATTTCAGCCTGGACAAATCTGACAGAAGCCAGAGTTAGGGTAAGTTTTCTGCCACGCCTAGAAATATAACAAATATCCTATTTGAGTCATTCTTCCCTCTTTTTTTCCCTCCCTCCCTTCATTCCTCCGAGGGAAAGAGGAACCCCTGTAATTTTGCGTACTCATTTGCATAAAGTATGGAAACATCGCTAAGAGATGAGTAAAACTAGTACCAAATTCCTTTTTCAAAACATTGAAACTCAAGTATATGTTTAAACTATGTACAGGCCGTTGTTTCAAACGATCCCTAGCATGAGACAACTTCTTAACTTAAAAAATTTCAATAGGAAAGCATTATTGGAGTAAAGAAAAATCTTAAATAGAGCGATTTTTTTCACCAACTTCAATAATGAATTCCTATGGAAAATTATGGGAAACCGGACCCTGGTCTCCGGTCATCTTTGGTCATCCTGTGGCGTTATGGGTTAGGGAAACCTGCAAACATCTATATGTATATTCAAACTACATCTTCCTTGACCGAACGATTTGAGGGAATATTTGAAACTTTCTCCATCCCAGTTGTGTATTTCGTTGGTACTGTTTGAGGATTGTTTCAAGAAATAATTGGGTTTTCTTCTGCATTTTTATTATATAAATCAGTTTGTTTTCCTCTAAACTGATTTATTTGAATTAAACCAACTTTAATATATCATATTTGTGCGCCAAAAAGATAAATTTCAGGGATATAGTAGAGCCCATTACATGCCCGTAATGGACCGATCTCCATTTATAATTTACCGTAAACGATTTTATTTTGAAAAAACCCATTTTTTTTTTTATAAATTACGTATCGCACATTATCTGAGTGTGTTAAATTAAGGAAAAAGTAAAATTAAAACCGAAAAAAGCTTAGAAAGATTGCCATCGCAAATTTTCCTCGTCATCATTATAAAAGACCGTTCATTGAGGACAAGTCCAAAAGTGTGTTTTTTTCCTTGTCAAACATATCAAAATGATGAAACGATAAAGTTTTTTTAACTAAATTCTAAAATTTCCTTCAAAAGATGAAATAATTTTTGAAGCTTTCTGATAAAAACACTGTTTGGTTTTAAAATCACGAAGGTATTCTTTTATAACTGAAAATATTTTTGTACACTTTTTGCGTAAACGAACGCGCCTGGATTACACGCACGAGAGTACACGTGGTAACCGGCTTGCATTAATTAGATTTAATGTCCATTCTAAATGTAAAACAATGACGGAACATGGAAAATATAAAATGACTTGGTTTACACACATGGTGTGTCATTTTCCGTCGAGCAAGACCGAAATTCATGTTTTAATATAAGTTCATTATCAAAGAATACTTTCGAGCAATTATTACCCCACACTAATTAGATCAGGCTTCCAGACTCATAATTGCGGACTTCATTCATCAAAGAGAGGGCTTAAGGAAGGATTTACAAATTACCGTAGAAGCAGTTGACATCGCGTCGTTTTTGGATATTAATTTCAAAGTTTTGCATTAATTTTTCGGAATGTCGTTTAAATGAAACGCAAAAAGCCGTAAAAGTGGACATTGGCATACGCGCAAGGAGTTCCTGGAGATTCGTTCCGCATGAAAGAATGTTTTGGAATTTTTGCACAACCACGACACAATGTTAGACAAATCCGACCGGATCAAAAATTAATTACATCAAAGATTTGTCGCTTCTAGACATTGAAATTACACGAGCGTGCTCATTTTTTCGTGAAATTGTAAAATGTTGACTAGGTCCATTTGGAAATAAAAAAAGTATCAGTTTTCATTACAGGATTAAATAATTTATTTATGATTTTAAAAGCTTTAGTAGCCGTCGTTTAAGGAATATTTCCGTATCTGTAATTAGATAAACGTAGAAATAAATCAATTTTATGAAAGTGGTTCACGGCTTTTTACATGATAATATATCTATGTGATACGTATAATTATTTTATATATTTTAACCTATTAGACATAAAAATACAAGTGTAGCTCATGGAACATATGTTATCAATTACGTGCTGGTTTCCCACTTCTAATTAGCTTGTACGCTACTGCCGTACCGGACATTCCTTGATAGCTTTAACTATTTACACCGCTCGAATGTAAATTTAAACAGGCTTGAAATATACACGAGGAAATGAACATCGACAAGGATAAATAAACACCTCATAAAGAAAATAATTCAGTAGGGAACTTAAGGTGTGAATGGACGCGTGTTTGTCAAAATCTCCAAGGAAATTTTGATTTCCTAACAGCGCCTTGCCGGTGAATAAGTCAATTTTGTGGAAAAAAAATAATGAAAATAATTTATGTCCTACTGTTATATTTAATAAAGGTTTAATCAGGCAAACTGTTTTATATACATTCGTGGTAAAGTGTGAAATTCACACCGTTTTATTTAAAAGAAAGTAGTTTGACAATCATGTGTCATACATAATTATTGAAATATATTGTTTACCAAACTGCCGACATTGCTATGATAGAAAAATGTACATGAAAATCAGATATTTTACTTGCTTCTGATTAATACTTAAACAAGGATTATAATTGAAAATTTATGAACATTTAAACATGTAGAAATAACATTCTAACGTTACAGAAACAAATAATTACGATATTTTAGGGAAAACAACGACAATTCTTGGAAAATAGTTCTAAATATTTAACTTAAGAAATTAAAATCAGAACTTGCATGTTTATCTAAAATTTGTAGACATAAGAGTAACTTATCTAAAATAAGTTTGAGGATAATATCTTTAAATTGAATTTGGAAAAACTTGATTTGCGAAAGAGTATTGCTAATTGCATATACAAATAAATCTCGAAAGCTTTAAAACAGAATTATTACGCTTCTCCATTTCATATTTCAACAGATTTTCATTTTTTATTCATGTGCAGATATATTCTTTTATAATAAGGTATGTCTCACATGATTTGATAGTGATGAAAACAGTCAACACTTCATTTATTCATTTCTGATAAGAAAGGGAGATGTTTCTTTTGCGCATGCGTCCCATCTTGTTTCTACCTCGATACGGTGGTATTGAGGTTTCTTACCCAGAAACACCGAAATGTCACTTGACAGGCGAAGGCAAATGTTTAAATTGTTACTAAAGGACGAATAATAAACTTCTGGTCGCGATCTGCACGTGTCCGAGATAAATGATAAAATAAATGATTTGAACTTATTTATATTTAGGCATTGAAAGTATGAACCAAAATGCTGTCATGCACTCTTCGTTAAATGTGAAATCTATACCGATCTTAACAAAAGATATTTTGGCTAATGACCACATGGATCACAATGATGGTTAAGTAATATGAAAAAGCACAAAAACACAAATTAAGAAAAGTTCACAAAGTGAAACGGCGAGCTTCTCAAAATAAATGAAATAAAAGAACCTCCGATCTCTGACAAAATTTCTATTTAATGATGCTATTGTTTATTGCACTAGTTTAATGGAACTATAAAAACAAATCTAAAACGCTTGAAAACATTAGCAGTACATCATTAAATCAAAACAAAAACTTCAGAATCATATGAAATTACAAAACATTTAAAATGAAAACCCTGCAACTATTTGCATCACGAAAATCTAACGTCGCAATAGCAAAAGGGTTGGAAGGGTATTCTCTTCTTTTCATTTTTTTATGTTCCAAGCTAAATTCTCCTGAACCCGACCCCTACTTTGTCATGATCGTAATTAATTAGGGGCTATCCTCGCCCCCTTGTCATCTCCTGTCACCTCTAACCGTCCGGACACGCCCGGCGATGACGCGAGAGGATTACTTCAGTGACAGAGAGTAGCTAATTGAGACGGATATGAAGTCACAGGAGAGACACACTCGATAATTTGCTTGTTATGTGGTTCTGTTAGCTCATCCATAATACAAACCAAACATTCCAGAGAAACACTGGGCAATTGTTCTTGGATTTTGACCATTATTGATTCTGGAGATTTAGTCGTCCTCTCTCAACTACCAAACAAAATATCCCCCATCGCCATACCATTTATTTTCTTGTCCCTCCCCTCTCTTATGCCTCCCATATTAAGAAATACAATGCAAGGTGTCTTAATAGAGATAATCTCCTTTTTTCTTTTCACTCCTCCCTTCCGCATCCCATGCAAAAATAGTCATTTCTATCTACTATGCATAATGCATTTCTCGATATCATTTATGCTCCCCTGCGCCACACAATGAAATAGTTCTAGCATTCAATATGCTTTCATCAGCATTGTCTCTTCCTCTTGCCTCCCATATGCAAACTTCAGCAATAACTACCATATAAAATGCTTTCATCGATATCGCCTCTTCTTTTATTCCTTTTAAATCTAGGATTAAAAAAAAGATAGTCATCATGTAAATTGTTCACCAATGTCATCCTCTGACTCGTTTCCCTCCTCTGGTCGTTTACGTAGCATGTTTAGTGTTATTGTATCATCCAGCTCCTGATTAAGCTGCTTACGGTAACACCTATCAAATCACCATGAGCAGGCAAGCTCGATACCGGCGCTGCTTTCTCATCTTCCTGACATCAGCCACGTACATCCCATCGGCGGGTTTTCTCTAACAATGTCAAGACCCTCATCAGGGATCTAGAACATCCCAATTTTATCATTTATCGTGTTTTGTGTATCGAGAAGAGATAACGTCTACCCCTGTCCTCTTAAATCTTTAATTTCATGATATTTTCCCCAGTATTGATTTACTAATACCCCCAGAAACCGACTTTTAGTAAAGAAATAGTAACATTTACATCACCGACGACGGTAAACAATCCCTGATCCCCATCCCAATCATTCAATTTAATAACTTACATATGTAGTTTAAGTGAATATGTTTTAAAGGGGTTCTTTGTTGTAATAAATTTTCATTTTGAAACACACAGACAAAGGTTTTCGACACCGTCGTCCCTCTCCCCAATCAGTGTCTGGTCCTGCTACTGACGTACATATACTAAAATCAGCTACCGATCACTTCGGGGTTGTGTATTTCAATAACAATATCGGCCTGGTAGCTGAGAGACTAGAAACATAATTTACGATCAAACTTTATTAAATCAATGTCGAAGTAAGAGTAGATTGTACAAGCGTTATCCAAGCATGTTGACGCGATAGGGCCCGGGTGAGCAGACGACAGACCCAACAAGACAAACACACCACTCAGCCGGGGGATTCATACATCAGCCTTTAAAATTAACCCACACAACTATCATGGACACAATTAAAAACCTGCCCATGTTTCTCGGTTTGCTATGAGAGGAGCTTCTACTCATTAAGTGGTTCCCGTAATAAAACCACAGTCTGTCATGTTGTCAACTCGGGTTGTTACCGTTGCCTTCATATTAAAAACTTGAAAGGAGATTTATCTTTGGGTTTAAATGTATTTCAAATAAGTCAATTATTGACTTGATTTTGTAATTGAGACGTCCCAATAATGTTCTAAATGATGAAACTATAGCCATCTTGTACTTAAAATATTACAAAAGGTACTTCCGTATCGAACAATATTCTCAATAATGCAAACAGATTTATTTCCTTTTTCGATCAATCTATTTTTGCTATGTTACTAATAATAGATTCTTTTTTGCTGTTTTGCAGGTTTGGTTTAAGAACAGAAGAGCAAAATGGAGGAAGAGGGAAAGGAACATGGAAACATTTAAAACTGGATTCGGATCTCAATTCACTGGGCTAATGCAATCACCATTCGACGACACTCTCTACAATGGTTATCCTAACAACTACTGGGCCACAAAAGTGCCCAGCCCTTTAGGATCCAAGTCGTTCCCTTGGGGCCTAAACTCAGTCAATCCTCATCTATCTTCCGTAGTCTCCACGCAACCGATGTGTTTTTCAGCACCCTCAAGTAGCATTAATAACTCTATGGTGGCCAATGTGCCCAACCTTCCGAGCAACATGACCAACACTGGTGCCCCCTGCCCTTACGCCCCTCCAGCCCCTCCGTACATCTACACCCCTAATAGGGATCAGTGCACGAACAGTATCGCTTCCCTAAGACTGAAAGCCAAACATCACTCTTATGGCTACCCTCCAGTTAACCCCAGACAACCCACACTGTCTGCCTGTCAGTATGCAACAGTCGGCAATGGCGGCGCCGTATGATACCGGATGTGACGTAGTGTGAGGAAAAACATTTTGAAGTGTTTTGTCGACCGGGTGACGACGAAAATAACACAGGAGTAGAATCTATCAAGACTCAATCTGTTTTCGTCCACCGGAGTAGATAATCTACTGTTTGTTGCATTGGTTTGCATTTATTTTAATGTTGCTGTTATACCAGAGGATCTGATTTCTCCGCAATGTGAATCTTGCCACAAAACAGTGTTATTGCAACAGGCAGCAGAAATGATAGATCTGACACTGTACAACCCAGCACCATGCAGTAAATAGGACGACGTGGTGTCACACACCTTGAAAATCGTGTATATGCGATTCCGCAACATCGTTGGTGCAGAGAAATGAACTCTTAAACAGGAAAGTATCACTGTCAGGTCATGATGGTGGATGTTGAACTTTGACCTAAGGTCGGTATATGTGATCTCCTTATCCACCATCACCGTAATACATGACCTTGACTTGATGGGCGTCACCTATCGGTCACCTATTATAGTCTCATAAATGACGCTTACGAACAATGTTTTATTATCATTTTTGTTGGTTGAATAGCTTTATATACATATGGTTCATATGTAACGAACACAACATTACGTCAGAAATTATACGTCGCAAATTTGTGACGTATACCACGTGAATGAATGACGTTACCATGACGGCGCTTTCAGGGGCTAATATATAATGTATTTATATATCTTGTATTCTATTCAACAATGACACGTGGTTTGCCGTATTCTAGAATGTACATCCGGGTTATATGAACATTAGTTTTAGGTCATATAGTGACGAAATCATACAACCAAACTTATACTGTATATCCCTTGGTTTTCGCGATTGCTATTTTTCACCATTGCGCTTCAAATTATTTATTCGCGAGGATTGACAAAAAACCCATTATATGTTATATAAATTCTTTTATAGACATATTTGAATAATTATTCTATGTAAATGATAACGAGCTAATGGAAATCGCGATTATCGCCAATCGCAAATGGATGGGAAAATATGACTCGCGAAATATGAGTGGATTACAGTATGTTAGCATATAGGCCTAGTGTCTACGAAGAACAAATGACGTTAGATGTGGGTTTTTTAATAATAATGAATATTATGGCAAAACATTATTGATGAAATTCTCACTCAAAGTGATGCATAGTGCTAGCAGTTAGTATTTCTTTGAGATCCAACATCGATTTAATTATTTTGTTATGCAGAATGGGACACTGAATAAGATTTGTCCCCAGCTGTTAAAATATTGCATTAATAAAGTTTGGTATATTAAAATATTTTGTTTGTTTGTAATCTATTGAGGTATCGTTAATGCAATTGCTGTGAAACAACGTATAACAACTGCCAACACATTTTGAAACAAGGAATTGTTAAATTTGCCTTTTGAAATGTGTTGGATTAGTTTACTTAGTGTTCTTGTCATTTAAATGGTATTTTAATCCTAATATAAATAAAATTAAAACGGATGTACCACATCGTCAGTATGCAAGGACACAATCTAAATCATATTCAATACGAAAGGATTTCGTCGCTGTAAGCAAAGATGATGTGTCACGAGAAAATAAATGAACTATAATAACGGAAAGGTCAAAATATCAAATCTCTCAAAATTGATATTTAAACTAAGTTTTGTCCTCGAGAGGTTATTAATAACGTTAGTGGTATTTAATCATAAACCTTTCACAAATCGACTTTTAGATTGCCAGCGAAACGTAAATAGTAGCTGTTATTCACTAATTAGATATGTATAACCATGATTTTATATGCAGAAGATATTTTTATCATTAAATATCATTCAATATTAATTAAGAAGGAAAACCTTTTATATATTTCGGTTTTACCTAATATTATCTTGACATTCCAATTCGTGATCTAACGCAATACATACACTAAACGAGAACAATCAACATATTTACAAGAAGTTAACTCTTAACATGACTCTGATGAGAACACACCGATAGATTTGGCGATATAAAATATTCGCAAAATGTTGAATTTGCTACAAATACACTTGCAGATTCTACTTTAATATAATAAATTAATTGATGTAGAAGTTGGTGATATCTGCGAAATTTCTGTGTGAGGATTTTTATTTCAAAATAAAAACAAAACAATTTTCCTCGCGATGAACCAAATGCATGTTAAATCCTTTCACCACTGTAGACCATAATGGACTCATCCATATCAATACATGGTAGAGTCTACTAAAGTTACATGGGGGTGAAAGGGTTAATAATGAAAAAGACGAAACACTGCCCAATGCCTGACGCAAATCCCTTCCTTTTTTTATTCCTATCCCGGATGCCATGTACAATGTCGAATATTGCTGCAGGGAAAAGACCCCTGGTAGGTATCGGTATCTCCGAGAAGAGAACATAAGCAACTTAACTCTTAATACAGTTTTTGTTGTTGTTTTCCCCGTCTTTGATGTCGACCGGGACCTGATCATGTTTCAGGTTTTCCCCGGATGATGAGGTTGACAGGGCTCACAGAGTACCAGGAATTCGGAGACCCAAATTTCGTGATGATGGGAGCTTCATGTATCAATGCAATATAAACAATGCAACTCAACCATCGTGAGGCCATTGTTTCTAACGTTAACATTGAGATTTCTGTTTTTATTGTTTTACAGTAAAAGTGTTATAACCATCGTTTTACTACACGTGTGTTAGCTTCATTGGAATTTTAGAGAAATTGATTTTGGTAAAACGGAGGAACACCAAATTATAAGCGACATTACGCATAACACTTTCTAAAGCTTAATACCTAACATTCCGCTCATAATTCACAATTAGGAAAATGATCTTTTAACAGCCAAAACCAAAAGTTAAATGAATTGTGAAAAACGTTATATTTTGTAGATAAGTGGAAGAAAGTGGCATTAATTCTCATAGGTGCATATTAAAATGAGGAAATAATGACGAGAAACATTCTTAAAATTCTTTCTAGAAATCTAGCGAAACGATATACATACAATGAATTATTTTTGTTTGAATAGTTTATCTTTAATGAAGATTCATAAGGAGTGGAATAGACGTCTGTTTTAAATTATTTTGATTTTCGAACGGAATTTTAACGAAAGTAGATATACACATACATGTATTACACTCAGACGAAGAACAAGTTTTGGGTCACTACTACAAACCACCATTATTGAAATAAGAGATTTATAGCCTGAATTTTTGTGTGCTATAATCTCAAGTTTAAAATGAATGTACGTCAATGGTGTTTGTTTGTTCCTGAATAAGCCAAAAATATAAGAATATTCATTGTTTTCATTTGTCATTTAAAAGGGATGTAATAACCCTATCAAAATGACTTCAGTTTTATTTTAGTTTTACTTTACATTCAAAAGTATTTAATTCAACAATTCAACACAATATTATACCAAAATTACACAATATCTGAGGAATTGGAAAACCAGCTTTGAGCTTTAATAAAAGAAATGGTGAAATGATAAACAATTTCTCAAATTTCAATGTAAGAATTCATCAATATTAAGGTACAAGTATAAGGTATAAGGTTAAAAAAGTTAACAATGTTTTATAAAAGTTTTACTTGGAAATATAAGCTAATTAAACAAATATATGTATTGTTAAGGATAAAAAACTGAAAAGCTGATACGAAAAATCTATATTAAGGCAATAATCTGAAGAGACGTCAAAACAAAGGCAGTAGCTTTATGAACCAGTAACATACTATCATTAATAACATAACACAGACATTGAATTTGACATCAGGCTACTTCAAAATGTCCGTCGTTGATATATAGACAATTCTATGTTATTTCTTTACATTAAGTTTAGATGTCAAAAATAGTTTCTGTCCACTTTAGTTTGTATATGTATCTAGATATATAGATATCAAAACATTAGTCATATATAAATGTGTATATATTACTAAAAACACTATTTTTTGTAATATAAAAAAGACGGGAGTTAACTATGAAGAAGGTTTTCCACTTTGCGCTAAGGCTTTATAGGAATTCTTCATTGCTACAACGCTATACACATAAAAACTAATAAGTTAAAATGTTAGTGCGAAATGTACCGCTTTTTTTTTTTACAAATTTACTCATTACTTGTTTTAACATGTTGTATAGTTCAATCGCATTTCGTCAACATATAATTAAAACTGTGTTGAAATATAATGTCCTTGTGATGGAAATGAAAATTTGAAAAATATGACACAAACCATGAAAAACTGGCTTTTCAGATCAAATATTTTTTTATATCATGGAAAAGTAGGGCATTTTGTACTATGGCTGCATTGAAACATCAAATATTGGATATGATAAAATAGACACCAACCAACAGTACACACATATAACACGATGACGTCATATTTAAACAATGCATATTGTGATTTTATTATCTATTCTGTTGGATGTGTACCCGTACATTGCAACAGTGCAAATCCAACGGTCTCCTAAAGATCCCTGTATCAGCTTCATAATATGTGGGGGTGTAGATATTATATATGTATAATATCAGCTTGTGTCGCTATCTTCATATGACTCTATAAGAGATATGATATCTCTAGATAGTATGTAGGATGTGTATATTATATAAGTATAATGTCTGCTGGTGTTGCTATCTGCTGTTGAATCTAGAATATTTTTACAAGATCCTTAGATAATATGTGGGATGTGTATATTATATAAGTATAATGACTGCTGGCGTTATTTTCCACCTTTCACTGAATAATATCTGGATGAGAACCATTACTAATATTTGGGATATGTATATTATATTCTTCAAAATGACTGCTAGTGTTACTATTTCACTGAATAACATCTGGATGAGATCCATTAATTATATGTGGGATGTGTATATTATATGAGGATAATGACTGCTGGCGTTATTTTCCACCTTTCACTGAGTAATATCTGGATGAGATCCATTAATAATATTTGGGATATGTATATTATATTCTTCAAAATGACTGCTAGTGTTATTATTTCACTGTATAATATCTGGATGAGATCCATTTATAATATGTGAGATGTGTATATAACATATTTTATAATTACTGCTAGTGTTACTATTTCACCGTATAATATCTGAATGAGATCCATTAATAATATGTGAGATATGTATATTATATACTTCATAATGACTGCTAGTATTACTATTTCATTGAATATTATCTGGATGAGATCCATTCAAACTATGTGGGATATGTATATTATATACTTCATAATGACTGCTAGTATTACTATTTCATTGAATATTATCTGGATGAGATCCATTCAAACTATGTGGGATATGTATATTATATTCTTCAAAATGACTGCTAGTGTTATTATTTCACTGTATAATATCTGGATGAGATTCATTAATAATATGTGAGATGTGTATAGGATATATTTTATAATGACTGCTAGTGTTAATATTTCACTGTATAATATCTGGATGAGATCCATTTATAATATGTGAGATGTGTATATAACATATTTTATAATGACTGCTAGTGTTAATATTTCACGGTATAATATCTGGATGAGAAATTTATACAATGGGAAACTTTTACGATTAAATGTCAATAGGCATGTTCATAGTACTATACGACTTAGGACACGACCCAACAAGTGCAACACACTGGGACAAATAGTATCAAAATATGTAGATAAAGACTTAATCTTACCGTGTAAACACTAAACGCTACTGGACTGATTAAAGTTCAAAATATGTCGCAAAATTGGGCGGAAATCCTAAAGATAACTTGAGCGGGGTCGCAATCAGGTTGGCGAGGTGAGATGTTGTACAGGCATAAAGGATTACCACGGATTATACCGGACAAATCTACTTTTCAGCAAGTTGTTAGAAATGTCGCCATTTGTACACGGGGTGTATACTTCATTTTAGGATAATTTTATCTGAGGTCGCCATTCAGGCGTTTCATTTAGCACCTGATAAAGACATAGTTTATCTATAAAGACTTTATATGACTGTATTGAATACTGTCTTTAAGGCTCAGAAAGTGTTTCAAGAATTACATGTCGGGGTAACTCATACAAGTAGTCTTTCTAGAAAATATCTAGATTGTTGCCTTACAAATATATTGTAAACAGAAATAGGAAAACCCAACTGTGTTTTGTTTGACAATCACCTGAGGAATAGAAAAAACCTTTCCCAATTAAAGAACACATAAGAAAATATCTGAGTTCTTTTATTACAAATATGTTTTAAATTGGAATAAGAAAACTCAGCGCAGTTTCTTGTCTGACAAACATATAGTGAGTAGAAAGACCTGTCCCAGTGTATTGACTGAAATA